TTGCTGTAAGCCACTAAATTTGTGGTACTTAATAACTCAGCAATAGAAAATTAACGTAGGAGCCAGGTTGTGGCACAGCGTTAACACAACTGGATCCATGGAGAAAGGTCCTGGGCCCTCTCTGAGAAAGTAAGGTACGAGTGAATGCCACTCCCACCCTACCCCATAACCCTCCCACTCCACTCTGATCTAGGCTGGTGGAGACCGAGACTGGGGGTAGGGGGTGAACTGCAGCACAAGGACCCTCTTGGGGTGCCTGTCTCTCTGTCTCTCATGGGAGAAATACATAAATTTATTTAAAAAAGAAAACTTATATGGAAAATATTCACAATATTAGCAGAAATATAGAGTACTTGGAAATAAATTGACAAAATGATGTAAAAGACCTGTACACTAAAGGCTTCAAAGTGTATGAGATTATGGACGTAAAGAAAAGGAGATAAATATTATCTTCATGTGTGGGAAGACTCAATATTTATGAGAAGTCAGCTTCCTCCAAATCTATGTATAATTTTAATTCCACACAACCCAAATTGTATCAGACGTGTTTTGTAAAAATTGACAAATTATTATATACACACACCCACACAGACAATATTAGTAAAAAAATAAAATTGGAGCACTAAACTTCAAGTATTCAAGATCTACTATATAAGTACAACAATAAGGATAATCTGCTACTAATATAAATTTTGTCAAATAAAATAATGAAACAGAATGGAGAGTTCACGCTTGTACACACATTTTCAAAGAAGCTTTATCCGTAACATCAAAAAAAAAAAAAAACCCTTAAAACAACCTAAATGCTCATTAAGAGAAAAATGGATAAACAAACTGTGATATGACCATATAATGGATTATTACTCAACAATAAAAGGAAAGAATCATTGGCCCAGCTTTGGTGGTGCAATTGGTAGGGAACTGACCTGCAGTGCTGGAAGACATGTGACCCCTACAAGTCTGGAGCCCCAGCCCAAAGGACCTGAAACACTCCAGGTACACACATACATGCCCAAGTTCCTGACAGGCTGGAGGGTTAGGGGAAGAGGATCTGTAAATCTAAATCTCTTCTAAGAAGTAAGCTCTGTTGATAAAAAATGTAAAACAAGCACTAAAATCTAAAAGAATATGTGTGTGTAAAACTATATGATGTTTAATAAATCATATATGAATCTTTAGAAAGGAAACTAACCTATAAGAACAACAGATTAGTGGTTGCTGGGAGGAGTGGAGGTGGTAGTAGGGGAGGAAACAGAGAAGTGTGAAGAGATTAAAAAGTCACAGATGGGTAGCTCTGTAGTGCAATGATTGCGTAGCAGGAGCTAGGTCCCTCCTAGACAAAGACAGTTCCAATCCCAGCTCCAGTTGCTTGAAAAACAAGCTGGACCTATGTGTGGGCATAGCCAGGATCTTGCCATGAGGGAGAAATGAAAGAAAAAAGGATTGTGGTGTGAGAAGGCCCCACTGTGGAGTGCTTTCTCTCTCTCTGTCACCATAAACAAATAAAAATATAAATATTGGCATGATGAAACTTTGGAGGCAAAGAGTATGTTTATCGTCTTGTCTGTGGCGACAGTTTTACAGATACACACACACACACACACATATGTATATGTATATATATATGTTAAAACTTAACAAATTGTACAGTTTAAGTATTTGCAGTCTATTGTCTGACAATTATACCTTAATAAAGCTCTTTTTCCAAACTATTTTTGAAAACTTTCACATTTAAATTCTCTTCTTCAAAAATAGTCTTCAGAAGTATTTGGAGTTAGCCGCACCACACTGAATTTAACCAGTACATTTTGTTTCATTTCAAGGTTTGAATATTGACAAGGTAAATTTCATGTGTTAATGGTGATTTAGGATGAGTGAAGCATCTTTCTTATTGTTTTCAACGTTAAGATTTGCAATCTTATGAGAACAACCTAATCAGACTATCTGACTGAAGGAAATTTTTGTAACTAACCAATAGGAAGCTAAACATGGTTTGTCACATTAAAAATGGGGCCAAGTACCCATATTATGGCAGGAACCTGGAAACTAAATTTTGAGCCACCTGATATTTAAAAATCACATTTCTACAGAGCCTGACGTTGATCACTTGTGTTCAAATCTGTTTTTGCTGCTTCCTATATTTGTAAGATTGGATAGTTCTGTGCCTCAGTTTACTCAACTCTAAGCAGGGGATAATAATACCTATTTTATGGGAATGTTGAAGGACTGAATACATAAATTCACACACATGAAAGTCTTAGAAGATTACCTGGAAATGCTGTCCAGATTCTAAAGAATTAGCTATCAGGGAAATGCCAATCAAAACTCCAGTGAGGTACCATTTCATGCCATAGAAAGGCTATAATAAAAAGATAACGATTGTCAACAAAGAGGTATAGAAATTGGAACCCTCATAGACTTCTGGCGGGAATGAGAAATGTACAGTTACTCTGAAAAACAACCTAGCGGTTTAAAAGGTTAAACTTAGAGTTACCACATGATCCAGCAATTCCATTTCTAAGTACATACCCAACAGATGAAAATACATGTTTGCACAAAAAACTTGTATATAAATGTGCATAGCAGTATTGTCCACAGTAGCCAAAAAGTATAGATAACTCACATGTCCAACAACTGATAAATGGATGAATAAAATGTGATAAATTCATATGATGAGATATTACCTGGCAATAAAAATGGATGAAGGACTGATATATGTAAACATGGATGACTCTTGAAAACATTATGTTAAGGAGTCAGTTAAAAAAAAAGGTCGCATATAGTATTAACATGATCCCATTTGTATGAAATGAATAAAATACACAAATCCAGAGGGACAGAAAGTAGACTTACGGCAGCTAGGAGGAGTTAGGAGGTTTGTCGGTCATTGGGGAGTAATTGTTAAAGAGTATGAGAATATGAGATTTCTTCTTTCTTTTTCAGAGGTTTTTGTTTTTGTTTTTGCTAGAGGGCATATGCACATGCTGGAGAGATAGAAGGACAATTCTCCTCTCAGGATTTTGGCACATGCACACATGTGCCCAGCATGAGTTTTAAGCCACTGGGTCTGGGACTCAAACTATGGTCGACTACATGGGAGTCCAGTGACGTAACCATTATGCCATCTGCTGGTTCCATGAGATTTCTTTTTTATATGACATAAAAGTTCTACAATTAATAGTGGTGATAATCGCACACTGTGAATATGCTAAAAACCATTGACTCATACATTCCAAATGAGTGAACTCTATGAAATCTGAATTATATCTCAATAGAGAACCTTAAATGTTTTAAGATGGAATGAAAACAGGAAGGAACATCTGAAAACAACAATAAATGAGCTCACTTGTCTCGCCTCAACTACTTCCATCCCCACACTTACTCCAGGCTCTGTCTATAATGGCCATGGTATGGTTTGTGTCCTCTGAAACTTTATGTGTTAAGATCTGATATTAAGAGGAAACCCAATACCTTCCTGATCTTGAAAGGTGGGACCTTCCACAATGATTAAGTGATTAGGGTGGGGCTCCCACCTGGTGGGTTCATGAGGAGAGAGAATGAGATTGGGATATACACACTGACATAGACGTATGCCCCCGTTCTCTTTCAACGTGATGCCCTCCCTGCATGGTTTTGGGACACCACAAAAAGGGAAACTCTTACTAGAAGCAGTCTCTAGACCATAGACTTCCTGATCGTGAACTGAATAAGCTCGATTTTTATAGATGACCTAGATTTAGGTATTGTCTCCATTATATCCTCAAATTAGATGCCCTGTGATCATATTATACTTGTCTCTTGGAATTAGTTCTCTTTACCGCCTCCTCTACCTGCCTAACCAGTACTCATCTAAAATTAGAGTAAATTAATTGCTGGAATGATAACTCTAAAACCTTGCAACATGATAAAGGTTTATTTCTTACTGATGCAGCCATCCTCAGATGATTCGAGGATTCAGGCTCCTTACTCTAGTAGGTCCATACTTCCTGGAGTCTTGGAACCTTCCACTGTGCTCTATATACCAGGCAGATAGAAAGTGTGAGCCATTAGCACATACGGCGCCTCAAGGCCTCCTAAGGGTATTTCCAACTAATTAACTCCACATTGAACAGGACATATTCAAGACACTGGCAGGACAGCCCATGGTCTTGGGTTTAGCTCTAGGATCGTTAGTTTATTAAGCTGTGTCTGAAATATACATTGTACTACTCTTCACTTTATCAGGGCTTCATGAATTTAAAGATGACCCATTAAAAAAGCTCAGATAACTATATCTTAGGAATATGCAGACAAGAAGATACTGTTTAATATTTCTATTGAGGATCTTGTGATGCAAGACAGGATATAAGCTGGAGTAAAAACTTTTCTGAAAGTTCTACTTACTAAAACTGTAATGTATTCCTTAGAACAGGTTAAAGTACAGCTCCCCACCTCCGAATTTACCCTACAGGTGGAGAAAATATGTTAATAGTAGTAAAAGAAATTCAAAAGCACTCATTTTTATACAACTCATAAGGGAGAGAATATCTTTTAAAGCAGGGCCAGGTTGTAGCATGGCGTTACCAACTAGACCCCCCTCCCCCATGGGAAAAGTCCTGGGTTCATCTGAGCAGGCCATCTGAGACCAGGGCATGGATCTGAAATGAAGGGAAAGGAAAGAACCTCACCATAAAGACCCTGTTGGCGGTTCCGGCTCCCTCTGTCTCTTTCTTTCATGGAAGAAATAAGTAACTTTTTTTTTTTTTAAAAGTAGGGTCATCTTTGATACATTTATTCTAAAAGATAAAGTAGTCAAATATCTTCCTCTATTTTACATCTTTAGAAAGCCTGAAATGGTTACAAAATTTCTGCTTCTGATACAATCTATCCGTTGTATCTAATTTCCCAATTAGACTGTGCATACTTCTTCATCTGCATCCGTAGCACAAAATCTAATATGTTAATGAGGTTCCATCCCAAAGCACCTGCTCTTCAGAGTGGACTTCAAACTAGCGGGGGAAAATACCAATTCCAGAGTTTCAGATCTGGTTCATAATCCGGTTAGGGAGGGGCTGGGCGGGGCCTCCTTCGAAGGAAGAGGCGTTGTTAGAAAGCTGTGAGACGGTCTCTGACTGTCACTACTGGGGTTTAAGCCTTGTAGTAGTTGCCTGAGCAAGGATTCCGGCGTGTGGGTAGCATTTTAAATGAAGACTAGCTTCATTTGGCGTTTGAGTGGAATCTGCGAACAGAGGCGCTCGTCTTCCGGATTGCCGAAAACTATGAGAGTTGCAGCGACGATTGTCACTTGCCTCAGGGAGCCCGCAAAAGCGCGGCGACAGTTTCTGAGAATGGGCGGTAGCAAGAGGTCCGACTAGCCCCGGGGTTTTAGTGAGAAGGGCAGCGGAACGCAGACAGGGACCGGGAGCTTCACAGCGTGCACCGATTTGAAGGCAGCAAAGTCGGGAGATACAACGTGTAATAGAACCACTTCTGCAGCCGCAGCCACCCTAGGGCCGGACTTGGGAGCACTCTGCCTCTCCAGCGCTCGCTGGGACAGCAACTGAAGGCCTCTCTCGGAGAACTTGGCCACTTCGGAGACCAGATCCCTTCAGCTACCTTTTCCTGCCCTCCCCACTTGCATCAGAGACGTAAGGACCGCCACCCTTCCCCTGACGACAGGATGAAGGGCAAAGACGGGAGCTGACCAGCGCCGCCTCTTCCCGACTCGACTCAGGAGGTGGAGATCCCTCAGGTCCAGCCAAATCCAACACCCATTTTCTCCTCCCTCTGTCCCTATATTCCCGACACCCCCTCCTTCTTCGCCTATCCCTCCTCCCTAGAGACGGGGGAGGAGAAAAGGGGAGTCCAGGTCGTCATGACTGAGCTGAAGGCAAAGGATCCCCGGGCTCCCCACGTGGCGAGCGGCGCAAACTCCCCCACCGAGGTCGGATCCCCCTTGCTGTGTCGCCCGGACGCTGGGCCCTTCGGAAGGAGCCAGACCTCGGACGCCTCGCCCGGCGTCTCGACCATACCCATCTCCCTGGACGGGCGGCTCTGCCCTCCGCCCTGCCAGGGACAGGACTTTCCAGACGGGAAAGCGCAGGACCCGCCGTCGCTGTCAGACGTGGAGGGCGTGTATTCTGCCGTCGAAGGCGCAAGGGGTGCAGGAGGCGGCAGCTCCAGACTCCCAGAAAAGGACAGTGGGCTTTTGGACAGCGTCTTGGACACGCTTCTGGCGCCGTCGGGGCCCGGGCAGAGTCACGCCAGTCCTCCGGCTTTCGAGACCACCAGTCCTTGGTACCTGTTTGGCGCGGAGCTTCCCGAAGGCCCCCGAGCTGCCCCCGACACCCAGGGCGTGCTGCCTCAGCTCATGAGCCAGACGGGGGGCAAGGCCGGCGACAGCTCCGGGATGGCAGGTGCCCACAAGGTGCTGCCCACGGGCCTGTCACCGTCCCGGCAGCTGCTGCTCCCGCCCTCGGGGAACCCTCCCTGGCCCGGGGCCGCAGTGAAGCCGGCTCCTCAGCCCGCAGCGGTGGTGGAGGTGGAGGAGGAGGAGGATGGCCCGGAGTCCGAGGGCTCGGCGCGTCCGCTGCTCAAGGGCAAACCTCGGGCTCTGGGAGGCACGGCGGGCGGGGG